GTGTGTGTGTGTGTGTGTGTGTGTGTGTGTGTGTGTGTGTGTGTGTAGCTCCCCAGCACTCAGACTCAGCCCTGACTGGGGATTCAGCACCTATCCCGGGGAGGGTCTGCAGACTATGCCGGCCACAGGTTTGCAAGCTCTTGGCTCCACTCTGCTTAGGTGAAGAGCAGGTTGGTTACTTTCCTTCTGGGCCAGCTGACACCAACATCACTGCCCCCACCTCCTCCCTCTCCAGCTCTCTCCTCTCCCGAGACCTCTAGCGTGACCTTCTAGGCTCCATTTCTGCTCCTTCCCACTCAGACCTGATGTTTAGGAAGCCACAGGCTGGGGTCCTGCCCTGCTGTCCTCCCAGATCAAGTGTTTCTGGCACCCACTCCGTGTTTGAAGTTATGCCTAGAGTGCTCAGCCTGGAGCTCCAGGTTCTCCTGGGACAGTGGGGTGGGGTGAGAGATGGCATTCTACATCAATGGGCCTGGTCAGGACAGACAGACAGACAGAACTGCTGCTGACACAATGGAGGAGAGGAGGGTCTTTTGTCTGAGCTGTCCTGTTTTGTAGGCCTTATCACCCCACTCCAACCAGGCTGATGAATCCTGCCACAAACACAAGATCCCACCAGGTGGGCAGGAAGGTGTGGAACACCCAGTCTGTCCTCCCTAATCACACCCAAAGGAGCTCCAGGCCGCCTCTCCTTCCTGCACGCTGAGGCTGCAGTACTTACAACTCTCTTCCCCCAATCAATTCCCACCGACAACCCTGCTCCCCCATTCCCCCCCCCGCCCCGTCTCTCATTCACCTCATCAGACCCCTGCTTTCCAGTGAAATCTCCTCCCCCAACCTCAGCCCAGTGCCTGCTCACCAAGCCCAGCGGCACCAAGAAAGATACCACCCACAGCAGCAGCAGCCTTGGACACGGAGACACCGATGATGATGCTGCCAGCCACCAGGCCGAGGGCCACACAGGCCAGCTGCAGGCAGTGGAAATCTCTGGTGCTGATGGGGATGTCCATGCAGGTCTACCCAGGGCTCTGCTTCCAGGCCTCCGGGGAGTCTTGGTCTTCTTGGATGAATGCCTCCTTGCTGGAGTGCCACATCCAGGGTGGAAACTTCTGGACTGCAAGTCTCCGGGCTGCTGCCTCTGGGATGTATCTGCAACCTTATCCCACAACTCTCCTAGGGGCCTCCAGCCCCAGCTTGACCTCAGCACCCCAGTTTACTCCACCTCCTGAGAAGGGCTCTGATGCTGGAGGTCACTCTTGGGGTTCCTGCCTTGGGTTTGGCCAGGGTTCTAGGGAAGTGGGTCTGTTCCATGGGGTCCACCTCTATCAGCTACCACCCAGGGCCTGAGGGAGCTGGGCCTAAGTTCTCTCACTCAAGACTTTTGTCCCAGCTCTGTGGACCCTGCTCAGTTAGTTGCCTTGGAGCCTGGGCCTATTAAAGTTTAAAGAAATGCAAGGCGGGGTTGTGGGGGGCAGGCCTAGGGAACATAGGCTTCTCAGAGGTGCAGGCAGCAAGGTGATGAGTTATTCATGAGCCTGTAATGCGAGCTTCCATTTGGGTCCCCAAGGCCCAATGGGCAGGCAGCCCAGGTTCCACTGTTGGTTCCTGAGCCGAGAGATTGGGCTTGTGGCTTCATGTGGTACTCAAGGGGATGGGGATGTGGGGAGACTCCACATTCGAATGCTCTAGGCTGACTCTGCTGGCCTCTGCCCCTTGGCCTAGCGGTGTACCTGGAGCCCTGTTTGGAGACACGGAAGGAGGGTAGTCCTCTAAGTTTACTCTCTTCCCTGTCCCTCCCACACTTCTTTTACCACCTTGTCAGCTGCTGGACTTGGAGAAGTCTTAGTCCAAGACTTCTCTTGGGTAGGCATTTATCTTAGGTAGGCATGGGTAGCACCCCATTTTAGCTGCCCGTAGGATGAAAGGCAAAGCCCTGGGGATTCCTGGCTGGGAAAGCAGAGGTACTAAGTAGTGAGTTAGGGTAGGTTGGATGGAGGAACTGGGTGAGAAGTGTCATGAAGCTGAGACATGGTGGGGACCTTTTAGTGCGAGTCCTCTACCCAGCCTGGCTGACCTGGTCAATCTGTTTGGAGAATCTACCAAAGAGCCTGAGCAGTGGTAACCCAGTCAAGCCTCGTCCTGATTCCTGTCCCTTTCCTAGCTCTAATTCTCACCATTAACTGCATTTCTGGACCTATGTAGATCAGGGCATTCCCAGTCTTACAGCATGGGCCTGTTCCCTGCTCTAACCTGGGGACCCTTCCCAAGGCTACATTACCCTGCGCAGAATCTCCAGGCTTCCTTCTCATTGCCCGTCTCTTAGCACCATGCCTGCGGTCTCCACCAGCCTCAAAATCCCCTGCCTCCACTGCTTCTTCCTCCTCAAGCCCTCTCTCTCTCTCTCTCTCTCTCTCTCTCTCTCTCTCTCTCTCTCTCTC